GAATACAGAGCATCCCTTGCCCCAGACTGAGAGTCCCTACCTATACCTTGTGGCTAATAGCCACTGATGGACCTCTGTTCCAGATGTTTCTCCAATCCCCTCTTGAAGCCGTCCAATGCTTGAAGCTGCCACCAACTCCTGTGGCAGTGAATTCCATGTGTTCGTCACTCTTTGGGTGAAGAAGTTTAGTGCTTCAGGTATGGCGTGGCAGAGGAGGGAATGGGAGAAGGGACCAAAGTGGCCGGACAGTAGGGGACCAAGCATGTCATAAAGGAAGCTTCAGGGGTGGAAGCCCTTGCCAGATTCCGTCTCTGGCATCTCCAGTTGAATGTCTGGAAGTGCCTTTGCTTGAAAGCCGGCTCTACTCAAGTCTACCTGCCTAATACATTTTTAAACCTCCCCCTTTCCTCCAAGGAGCTTGGGGGCAGCATGTATGACTCTCTCTCTCCCCCTCCAGGGAGAGGGGCTGTGGCCTGGCCTGTAGCTACAGTGGGGCTATTGGGGTCTCCGCCCCCTTCCTTAAAGGCCCAGCCGCACAAGATTTTTTTTTTTGAGAAGAAGATTTCTTTTTGAGAAGAAGATCCTTTAAATGGTTTTGAGAAGAAGTGGGGGGTGGTGCATGCTCCCTCCCCTGCCCTCCTGCACGATTTAAACGGCCGTTCAGCTGATTGGTGGGCCACGCGCTCCCCGCCAATCAACTGAACGGCCCTTTAAATCTTGCAAGAGGGGAAGGAGAGGGGTGGCCACCAGAGATCGGGCTTGGGGGCGGATTGAAGCTGACATAAGAATACTGGACGTCAGATCGCAACAACCGCGCCGAAAACAACGAAGAGTCCAAAAAGATATATTAGCAAAAGTATTGACTATAATAATAGTGATTCTCTGGGAAAATGTTAACTCGTGAGAGAGTCAACCTGGGATGTTTATTTCAAGAGTGGAAAAGTGGAAACTGATAACAATTGTAATTGCGACACGCTCAGATAAAGCAATCATTGTGAAACGGGTATTTGTTATTGCGCAAAAAATTGTGCGAGCGTTGTAAGAAGATTTTTTTCCCCCAGAGACTCACTATTATGATAGTAAATATTTTTGCTAATATATCTTTTTGGACTCTTTCTCGTTTTTGTCACGGTCGTTTTTGATTGGACTTCCATCTTCTCCCGTGATCTCTCACTTTTTGCTTCTATGACATAAAATAGTGGCAGGCCCACCAGAATAAATTTTGCCCCACAAGCCACAAAATCCTGGCTACAGGCCTGGGCTGTGGCTCAGTGGTAGAGCAGGTGCTTTGCATGCAGAAGGTCCTAGGTTCAGTCCCCAGCAGCTCCAGCTAGAGGACTAAGGTAGTAGGTGATGTGAAAGAACCGAGAGCATCTTGCTTGCCGTGCAAAAGGTCCCAGGTTCAACCCCCAGCTTAAAGGATCTGGTGAAGGTGATGTGAAAGACCTCCATCTGAGACCCTGGAGAGCAGCTGCCAGTCTGAGTAGACCATCCTGACCTTGATAGACCAAAGCTCTGGTTCAGACTAAGGCAGCTTCCTGGATGTTCATTTGCGGCTCCACTTGATCCTCCAAGCTGTTAGATTCACTGGTATGGTACAGCCAGGAATCTCTCTCTTATGCAGCAGAGTGGACTAGGCATCACACAGCGGCAGCTTGGTACTATGTATGGTAGCAAAGATGAAAATTTGCACTGAGCCAATTGTCAGTTTCAAACTAATAAGAGTCCTTTATTAGGGAACTCCATTCTAGGATAGTATAGGATAGTACAGGCCAATTTTCAGTTTCAAACTAATAAGAGTCCTTTATTAGGGAACTCCATTCTAAGTATAGGTGAGAGATAGGGCTAGAATCTAATCTAAGTAGCTGGATGGATGCAGATGCAGCATGCATGTCCCACATCCTTGGTGCCAAAGATGGTGTGTTTGTGTGTGAGAGAGAGAGAGATGGAAGGAAGCCTTTGGGGTAGGGCGGGATACAAATCTAAGAAATAAATAAATAAATAAAGGAAGGAAGTCTTGTCCCTAAGAATACCATTCTGCTTCAAAGAGATAGTGTCAGATAGCAGGCTCTCCTTCTTCTGAGGTTTTTAAGCAGAGGCTAGATGCAGGTTCTGTGAATCTAGGCAGACGGTGAGAGGAAGGGCAGGAAGGGATGAGCCAGCATTCGCATCTTGTGGCCCTTTCTTACATGCCCAGGGGGATGTCGATCACCACTTTGAGGTCAGGAAGGAATTTTCCTCCAGGGATCCCAGAGGGTTGAGGATTTTTTTGCTTTCTTCTGGGCATAGAGCAAGCATCAGTAAGGGGTTGGGAGGGGAAGTAGCTGTGAATTTCCTCCACTGTTCAGGGGGTTGGACTAGATGACCCTTGAGGTACCTTCCAGCTCTATGCTTCTGTGGACGATTCTGCATCGAGCATTCACTCCACATTTTCTCAGGAAAAGGTGCAGCTCAAAACCACATTCAAATACCCTGGGGGACAATGCCGTACTGACTGCAAAGTCACCCCTGAACGGCCATAGGTCTATGCAGAAGGTACCATAAAACCCGATGATCAAAGAAAGTGAAAGCAGCATGGAATGCAGAGGGTACCATAAAATCCGATGATCAAAGAAAGTGAAAGCAGCATGCAGTGCAGAAAGTACCATAAATCCGATGATCAAAGAAAGTAAAAGCAGCATGCAGTGCAGAGGGTACCATAAAATCCGATGATCAAAGAAACTGAAAGCAGCATGCAGTGAAGAGGGTACCATAAAACCCGATGATCAAAGAAAGTGAAAGCAGCATGCAGTGAAGAGGGTACCATAAAACCCGATGATCACAGAAAGTGAAAGCGGCATGCAGTGTGGATGGTACTATAAAACCCGATGATCAAAGAAAGTGAAAGCAGCATGCAGTGAAGAGGGTACCATAAAACCCGATAATCAAAGGTCCCGTTCACACGATGCGATTTGGCCCGGGAGCGGGACAGTTCGGGGGCGGGTCAAACCGGCGTGATCACACCACAACATCTGTAAAGCGCCGTGATTCCGTCCCCGAACTGGCCCTTTCCCGGGAAACTGCGCCTCAAACTGAACCACCTACCTCAGTGGTTCAAGTGGACGCGGCGCTTCTACCCGGGCGTTTGATCGCCGG